GGAAGTTAATGGGCGACGGCCTTGAAATATCATCATCACTTCCCGGAAAAAAAGAAAAAAAAAGAAATATCATCATTGAACTGACCGACCGGGCCCAGGTAATTCCACATGATTTTCTTTATTAAAAAAGACAAGGTTCTGTTCATCTGATTGTATCTGGTCTGGATTCGAACTTGAGTCTGTCTGTCTACAGTTCATGGGATGGGTGTATCGACTGAGGGCATACTCACACTACGGTAGGACCTTTTAGACTATGGTAGGCTCTGGACGTGATTGCGGTCATATGCATCCTGCTGTTTTCAGACCGGGATTGCAGTCGGAGCTACCTATAAGCCCGTCGGTACGGGTGGCTTTTTTTTTTTTTTTTTTTTTTTTAATTTGGACCATTTCTCGATTTATGAGTGTCATCCTTGCGCAGGGGCCATTTGGTAATTTACCCCTCTCTGTCTCGTTCCAATTTCAACGTATGGCCCGAAGGACTGTACGGCTGGAATTTCATAACGTCGTAGGAGGAGGTACGATTGACAGTCCCCTCCTTGTTTTGGGTCACCTCCTTGCTTTTTTTTTTTTTTTTTTTTTTTTTTTTTTTTTTTTTTTTTTTCCCCCCTTAGGGCTGTCTCTTATACACATCTAGATGTGTATAAGAGACAGGCGCGGGGGCGGGCCGCGCGCGAAGGTAGGGCGTAGGTGAAACCGGGTCTACCCGGAGCACAAAAAAAAAAGAGAAAAAAAAAAACCGCCTCAAGGTAGCTGATCAAAATGAGATGGGCTAAAAAAGTCGCCTCGCATCGTCCACTGCCACGTGGCGGCCAGGTAAACGTCAAAATTTGGGTTTGACGTATTTCACGGAACAGTCGCGGCCTCAGTCATGTTCTTTTTTTTTTTTTTTGTCAGTCGTGTTCTCATGTTTTTCTTTTTGGGAATTTTTCTTTTTTTTTGGTGTTTGTCAGTGTTTTTTTTTGTCTTCGTTCTTTGTTTTTTTCTTTTCTTTCCTTTCAATAGAGAAGTATTTCATGAAAAAGGGCCCAGTGCCCAAGGGAACATACAACGATCAAAGCACTGAAAAACAAGCCAACAAAAACCAACGGGGGCCAAGTCCCACTAGGTACCCGAATTCTCCACTTCTGACCGACCGTAGATTACGATGATGATCAGCGGCCAGAAATGAAGAATCAGGAGGGTATAAGTGGGACATGGGCCCGTGCCTAGCACAGTTTGTACACGCGTGAACTGTCAAAATGCAGACTCAAGTTCGAATCCAGGGGCCAAGTCCCACTTACGCCGATTCTTCATTTCTGGCCGTTGATCTTCGTAATCTACGGTCAGAAGGTGAGAATTCGGGTAAGTGGGACTTGCCCCCAGATGGCAGATACCATCAGATGAAAAAAAAAAAAAACTGGGAACTTTTTTTTCTTTTTTTCAAAATTAATGGCTAATTCTTTTAAGCCCCAACCAATTCAATTACCTGTCAAATCTGGACAGGACGGCCTTTCAGGCCTTCGTTTTTTTTTGCCATTATAGTATTATTATTACGGGGAACCCGTAGCAGCCACGTCCGTGCTCAAGCCTCCTACGAGGGAACATGCGGGAGCCGCATCCACCAGCAGGTGCTGTGGATATTCTGCAATGGGCCTCGCTGCACTATTCTCCAAATGCGCAAAATGGGAATGAATCCACCGCTAGAACATGGAAAGATACATTGCCATCGTGTTTGTCTTTTGTGCATGTGGAGAGTAGTGCAGCGAGGTCCAATATTTGGGTCTCGTTAGACACTCCTAAAAATGCCTGTTTTTAGGATTGCGTCGTCGTTGCACGCGATCCTAAATCCGATTTCGAGATAGAAAATGTGAAAACGGCGTTAGGACGAATCCTAAAGAATTTAGGATTCCCCAGGCAAATTCGTCCTAAATTTTTCAGTAGCCCCCGACCTACTGAAATTTTTAGGATTCCCACGTTTGACGGAGTCGTGGCGACGTGCGCATGGCACCCTTGTCTTGGACTCCTGGCACACCCTATTGGCTGAAACCCTGAAGCATGACTTTTTTTCTTTTCTTTTTTTCTTTTTAATTACGACTTTCTTTTAGGACTGGTCCTAAACGATGGTCTTTTAGGAATGCGTGTAACCACGACGCACGAAATCCTAAAAAACCTTTAGGACTGTCCTAAAAATTTTAGGATTCTTTTAGGAGTGTCTAATGAGACCCTTTACCTTTTCCTGGGTTCGGCCAGTGATGACGTCCCATTGGGGGAGCTCAACAACTTTTTTTTTTTTTTGGAATTACCATCTTTTTTTTTTTTCTTTTTTTTTTTTTTTCAATCTCGTGTGGTTTGTTCCCCCAAAAAATAAAACACTACGTGCGTGATTGAGCCAACTTACTTGTGTTTTATTAATTACCAGCCGTCAAAAATAAAAAAATAAATCTCGTGTGGTGTGATATATTTATGTGTTTGGAAAAAAAAGAAAAAAAAATATACTCATGTGTTTGCTGACTGATATCGGCGGCTGTGATGAATGTGTCACGCTTAAGCCTGATGCTCTGTCTATCAGGATGAGCGCCCCTCCGCTGATTTGATTTTTGTCGGTTGTTGTCATGATTTTTTTTTATTTTTTTTTTTTTTGAACCGGTTCGCTTATTTT